GCCTCAAAGCCAACGCTGATTGGACGTTCGTTTCGTGAACGGCTCCAAATTTTCTTTAACGGAGAGTAGCCAGACTGATCTGCGAGTGAAACCTTGAAAGCTCGCGAGATCAGGATGGTCTCACGAGGCTACTATTGCACTACTCTAGAAACAAAAAGTACTTCTCTTCCACATTAGAGAGTGTGGTTTTGGATAGCATTCTTAAATGATCAAGTAGTAGTAAAAAAAACAAAACTCAGCATTATAATGCAAGTATAGCAACTAGATTACTTTGTTAAGGAAAGAATAATGCCAATACTAATGTTATCATGTTATTATCTGATGCCCTCACTCTCAAAAATGGTCATGCCCATTTACTCCAAAGACAGGAAAATCTTCAACATTACTAGATTGTACAGTTGTGGACATCAAGTTATGCAGAATATCTTTAAAAAGGAAAATATTTTCATGACCTTCTTTTATAAGATAGGAAAGTACATCAGAAAGGACACAGAAATTTTCTGCAAGGACACAGAAGAATTGTCTCCTTTCTATCTCCTCTTTCCTTCATCTTTTCTCTTGTTTTTCTTTTTCTTCTTTGGTTTTTCCTCTTCTGTTCTATTTACTGTAAATTGCAGTCTCCATATAAGCTGTATAACTCCCTGCTAAATTATAACAAAGCAATTTCTATGCATGAAACAAGTAAAACATTATGGCAATTGCCATACTGCTACTGTACACTTGTAAAAGTAAAATCTGTTGGGTTCTTTTTGGCATCAAGACAACTATTCTTATTGCCACATTGCCAGACAGGACACTGTAAAAAAAAAGAAAAGAAAGGACACTGAAAAATAAAATAAATGAGAAAAGATATTGAAGGACTTCCACTACTACCAAGTCAATTACTTTGTAGTCTGTATAATTTGTTCTTATTTATATGGTCAGTACATTTCTGCAGTGCAAGTGCAATAATTCAAGTCAACTAGTGTGTAATCTTTACTTAGCTCTCCACTGTGCAGATATTTTTATATCTAAATGAAACATATTCCAGGACATTACTTTTTTATGCTCTTTTGTATTATATAAACTCTTTTTATATTGTGTGTTGTATTTTTATCTTTAATGGCATCTTGCTTTAACTCTGCCCTTTGTACTCTACATAAGCTACTGAAACCAGAATTTCCCTGAAGGGGTAATCAAAAGGGATAAAAAATTGAGTCTAAAGGCTGATTTATACTCAGAAACCAGGTTGTCTGCTTGTGTGTGGCAGTAAACGCAAATGTGCCCCCACTCCCTGCGCAGACACTCTGATGCACCTCTCCAAAATTGTAGGTGACTGCAGACAGACAGGAAGCCTCTGATTGGTTAAATCTACATCCGCTCTACACTATGCGTATTTCCTGTTTGGTACCTTACCGGCCTGTTTAGCCTCTTTTTGGCCCTCATATCCCTCTGTTGTCGCACAAACTTGCCCCCACTTCCTCACCGCTTCGTGATTGTCCGTCTTGCGTTGCGGTGTGGGATAACAAAGCGCAAACGACGCTTCAATATTGGGCATGAATCAAAAATATCTGCGACAAGCTTACTGCGACACACTGCTGCGGGAGGATAACCAGTCCTTTAGTCTAAGTCTATGGAGTGGAAAAATTGGTAAAATTAGGTATTTAAGTCAGAAACTATGAGAGCATCAATACATAAAACATTTTTTCTTAATTATTTGTTTAGTACAATTGCAATCTAAACACTAAACCAAAATCTCAGACTGATACGATTTTGGAGAACATCTTCCCTAAAGTATTATGCAGATTAAAAGAGTCAGGCTTTTGTAGTGAATTTCAGCCCACTCATATAGCTGAAGAAATAAGCAAGGAAAGGCAGCATGCAACTTCCACATGCACAGCTCGTCCCAACCAAACATTTTGAGTTCTTTTTATTTCTCTTGGATAGAGGCTTGAAAAACTAAACATACAGTCATCAGCATTGGGTTTGTTTAATGGATTGATGTTTTTTCCAACATACCAATGTAAATCTAACTGCAAAGCAATACTGACTGAGAATCCATCCAGAATTTGAAAGAATGCAACCTTGAAAGGAATCCATGTGGAGAAAAAAAATTGTCCATTTGGGATCAAACTGAGTGGGATTCAAAACCAAGAAAAGGTACTTAGTCTTGTCAAAGGATTCTAACACTGTAAATATGCATGGACATGAATCTAATCTAAAAAGGATTCCTTTCCATAAAAGTCCTGAAAACAAAAGGGATCAGCCCCAAGATTTCTTACGTGTAGATTTTCACCAACAAACCTTAATAGGTAATTTTCTAAGAAAATGAAAAATGGCAAACTTTCAAAACGTATCAGGTCGCACCACCTTGTATTACCCTAATTATTAAATGTCACATAGAGTTGAGCCTATAGTCCAAACCATTTTATTTTTGTCTTTTCTATTTTTTGTTTTAGCTTTTCGTAAACTGAAAATAGATTTTCTGTCTTTGACATTCTTTTAATAAGAGTTTTTTTTTTTTTTACTACTCTTCTGTAGAGGCCTAATTTGTACAATGGGGTTACAGCACCTCAATAGTTATCCTGGACTTTATATGGACAGTTTTCTCGATGCTTTATTTGCCTGAGCGATGGATTTTAATAGAGGCATCAAAGTAAAGGAAGATGGATAAATGTCAAAAAGTATGCATTTAACCTTTTTCATCCACTTTACAATGACATTCTAGTTTGTGTTGGTTCATCCTATGTGAACAGGTTCAAGGAATGTGAACACTCACTCATGGTAGAAATATTGTTTTTTTTTTTACACTAAAAGTACAAACCAAAAAAGTTTTCTTTTTAATTTTTTATTCAACATAACTTTACATAATAGGTGGGTAGAATAGACAAAGTATTTGTAGAACTACTTTATAGTTTTTTACTCTAGAAAAAAAAAAGCACTTGTTAAAATGTGCAGAGTAACCATTGGCTCCCAACACCTAATTTAATGTTTAAAATGATATATAGATATTTGTAATCTGGTATTTTATGTTTAAAAAGAAAAGCGTTTAAAACCTATCTTTATAATAAGTCATGCATATATGTTAGGCAGGCTCAAGAACTTCCTGCAACAATATTTACTGTTTACTGTATAGTCACCTGATCCCATGTAGTTGAAGTTGCTCTTGGTGAGTAGATTAACCAGATCTTATACTCAAGTAGTAAAATAATCTTACATGAAAATTACTCAAGCAGAAAGAAAGAAATACAGTAATGTTTAACCACTCTGAAAATATATATTTTCTAAAAGTTACGCAATAAATGTAACTGAGTAGCAATAAATAGATTTCACCCATTTCTGCCTTGTAACCATTGGGACTTTTAGAACAATCATCAGCAAATTTTGTGCTGAAGAAGTTTGTTCCAATAAAGGTCCATTGCGCTTTTATTTAAGTACAATAAGGTTTATATTAGAAGGTGATGCAGTAATATTTTGTTATTGTACTTCTTCTAAACCAGAGAGTGTTTTTGGGGGGGAAATGTTAATGTTAAAAATCAAAGGGTCTTTCAAGCTTGCAACTGACTTAGAATGAAGGTTTACAAATTCTAGCCATTTTACATGTACAAATTTGTGAATATTTAAATTTCTATAGTAATAATTTATTATTTCAACCTAAATACAGATGTTATTACCCGCTGCAGACAAAGATATCTAAGTCTTTAGGTCCTTGGCTTCTGTCAGTATTTTAGGTCTGAAACACTTAGTTGCATAAATTGATTCATAGAGAAGCCTCCTGACAATTCAGAAACTGAGTGAATAATATGCAAATATTCACTCAATCAGGTGCACATCCTACCTGCCAAGCAGAGTCCAAAGATGGTCAGAAGAACCAGGATGTATAAGGACACAATTGCATATTTGATAGCTGACAGGGAGTTCAGGAGACTGCAATACTGGTCCTGCTTCCTGCGGCGCTTTCCAGACACTAATGAAAAGAAAAGATGGAAAAAAAAGTAATGCAGATTCCATAAACCAGCAAAACTACTGTTGGGTGATAACATCATACCAAAGTAAATATTTGTTTGTACAGTAAAGAGTTATTTTGTTGTTGCAGAAAACATGACTAAGAATTTCTAACAACACTTGTTGTTCCACTCACTGGTTTTCACAAACCTTAGACCAACTTCTTTGGAAAATTCTCTACATTACTCCACAATAATTCCAACAATTCTCATCATATTCTGCAACATGAATTGCACAGACTCACTGAGGATACAGTATATTACTGCAGCTCATGCAAGCATTTAACCATTCTCTGAGGGTCAAACGCAGGCTTAATAAACCTGACACGGGGTCTTTATGAATGATGAGAAGGCTGTTTTTGTGTCTCTGTGTTGGACAGCTTGGCAGAAAGCAGTGATGGTTTGTTAATGAAAATATTCCCCTCAGGTCAGGAAGAAGAATCAATTTTCAAACCTTCATCTGGAATCATATTCTTCATCAGTAAACAGAACAGGACTCAGATGTTACCTCTCTAAGGCTCTTTGAAATCAGGCACAGCACTGCGTATGTTTATCTGACTGATGCTAAATAAAATCATTGTTACTGGAACCATAGGATCTCAAATATCTCATTTAAAAGGAAGACACAAGTTTAAGGCAGTTTCTTAGCTGTTACAAAATTGGAAAACATAAGGGAAAATTATTACTGTAAATTCATGTGTCTAAATTGATCTGAACAAAGACTAGAAGTTGTTTCAAAGACAACAACCGTTTCTCTATTTCAAACGACACAGTAAAGCGTCAGAGTTTGAAATCACTTCTCATTTTTTGATAAATTATTTCACACAGACATATGCTCTTAGAACCCTACAAAGTGAGGAACCTTAGGATATGATCTTACACCCTGTTCTATTGTTACTTAATTCCTATTAGATCAAGAAAACAAATGTTTTCCTTCCGCTTCTCGATCTGATTGCCTACTCAAAAATTTTTTTTGCTTCAGTTGATTCACTGAAAAACGGTGTTCAGTACATATAAAATAATTCTGATGAGGCTCGTTTTAAAGCCTGATTTTGCTTTTACAAACAATTAATACTTTAAATCTGAATTAAACATATTTTAAGAAAGGATTCACTAAGTTGAAATTGCTGTATGGGGAGGATGTCTACTTATTGTGGGAGGAATGCAACAAATAAGCAATGTCTTTAAGTTATCAAGCTTAAATTATTGCTATTTTTTGCACATAGGCTTTAATATGTCTCTATTACTTTATTACTTTACCTACAAGTTCTCAGCTAATTGTCCTTGGACCAGATTTTGCCCATAACCTCATTTTGGTGAACGTGAGTCTGTTTGAAATGTGTTCTTTGGAACCATGCCTGTAATAACAGCCCAGTGTTTGCACAATGTACAAAGGCTTGAAGTCCTCAGTGCAGGTGTTTAAGGCTGGATCCATGACCTCAGGACCTTTGCCTATTTTCTTGTCAGGAAACACTGTCGATTAAAAGGACCACAAGATCTCACAAAAGTGCCCAAGGAGTGAATGAGTGCCTAAATGCTCTTTTGATTTTTTTTAGGGGCTCTTGCAAAGGGTTTCTTCAGACTTGGGGTGTTTTTTTTTGTTTTTTTTACAAATAGGACAGCTTAGCTTGTGCTGAGAAATAAAAACAATGAACTAATAAAGAACTAAAGAAAAGGCACAATAATTGGTATAGTCTCCTCACAATGAAGCAGTAAAGAAAAATCTCATAAACAGACATCCATGAAGCATCATGGTCATCTACAGTGTGTCTAGCTCTCAGCTATAGTAATAGCTAACTAAGAAACACCTTGATGGAGCTAAAATACTTTCTGATGTATGCTAAGAATTGTATTAACTTACCTAGCTACTTTTCTTGTTATTTTTTAAGGATTCAGAGCGGTTGATTAGGATCTTTTAAAACCTCACGTTTAACTAGTGTCTAACTCAACAAAGAAAACTGCAGACGAGTTAAATGACTGAAAAAAAACAAAACATTTTGGAATGTGTTCTAAAGAGGCCTCTGGAGGAAAAAATCGAGAGTCTGCATCATGATGAATATTACCTCCATTGGGATATCATACAACTATATATTCTGTCATCCTGCAAACACTTAGGATATTAGACTGTGTGTGAATTTCAAAAACAAACACCAATCTTGCAGCTAAGTCTCCTCACAGCATGTTTTCATTTGGACCGTGACGACCCACCAATGGATGCAGGTGGACTAGTGTTAATGTACGCACACATAAACTCCCCCTCCATGATGAAGAACACACACAGCTACAGAGTAAGAAAACACAGCTGGTTGGTATGTGTGTGTGTGTGTGTTAGTTACACGGCTGCAAAGTACAGTATAGAAATAATACACCATGCTGTCACCTTTATTTTAGACTGGCCTGCCCTAAAAACAGATTTTTAAAGGAAGAAATAATCCTGACCTCATGCAGCTAGATTGGAAAACAAGAGCAGCAGCCTCACAAGAAACTTAAGAACTCATGTGTGCTGCAAATGTTTTAATTTCTTGATTTGTGTCAGCTAGCAAAACACTTCAAGCTGACTTTGGGTCTAATTTCTATTGGGAAAAGGACATGAGCTCATGACACTCCCATTATTTGCTTAGGGTATACATTAAAATAATTTAAATAATATGTTTTTTAATGTTAATTACTTTCATTTTTAGCAGATTTTTTTTTTTTTGGCCAATACAACAAACAAATTTATTCGAACAAAAGTTGGATTTGTATTTAAATGTATATTTATTCAGGCAACACGTGTTTTGTTATAGCCCAAAAAAAAAGTCCCACCCTGATATTCATTTTATCACAATTATTGTGTTTCTGACAAACAAATCCAAATTTGGTTTATCAACAGCTGTTTGACACGATTTAAGTTACATTGTTACAATTTCAAGTAATTTTTACAAATAAATACAAAAAACTATCCACAACAACCTGGCAAAGTACAAAAGTAAACCACCATCCTTGGAGGCAGCAACCTCTTCAGTCACATCATTTCCATCTTAGAGAAATATTCTCTTAATGTATTGGAAAAATTGTTTTAAATTTTGAAACTTAGGAGGGTTTCTGTTTACCTTGAATTGTGTGTTTAGGGTTTATTTATCTATTTTTATCAATAGTTATTCTCTGCATAAACTAA